CACTGCAGACAGGCAGCCAGCGTGCCCTGAGGGAGTCAGAGCAGGCAATTGTTCCTATTATGCTGTCCGGAGTCTTCTGCCAACCCAGATTTCATACACACACACACACACACACACACACACACACACACACACACACAGATAGAGGGTATCAGTTATATTGTAAAGTAGTTCTTCAGTTCTTCTTGGGGAAAAAGACAGAAGCTGTAGCTGTACTGGGTCTTTGTTTAAATAATAGTTCAGCTTTGCTGACCCTAGTTTGAGACAGATTTGGCCAAGGACATGAAAGATAGCACAATAAAATAAAATCCAGAAATAGCCTTGCCTCCATGTTTAAGTTCCTGTGGGGACACACAGAAAACTCTGCTCCCAAGTCTAAACCCAAACAGTGTATCAGTGACATATCATCTATGGATGTAAACATTTGTTTTGTGGCAATCAAAGCAGGCCTTCCAAATCACACCAACCATGAAGTCCCCCAACCAGTCATTCCTTAGTCTAGCCAGACACACAGGGTGGCCCTAAGCATCTGTTTCCTCCATTATGGGTGTTCCAATGGTCATACAGGGCCTATCCAGCCACATAGCTTGGCTTTGAAGTAATAACTTATATAACATGGATTATCTCTGCTGAAGTAAAACTCACAATGTTGATAGAAATACACTAGCAATTTAAAAACTGTTACATGAGGATGGTGGGATCTGGGTATTTGTGTTCTTTTAAGAAGTTGGTTGGATCTATTTTTTCCTGGAACATAAACATATTTTTAAAGATAATTTAAAAGATTTAAATAATTAATCTAGTGTCCACAAGATTTAAAAAGCTGGGCAAGATGATGCATACCCAGGTGAGAGGCTAGTATCCACAAAATTTTAAAAACTGGGCATGGTGGTACATGCCTATAATCGCAGCTGGGAAGCTGAGGCAGGAGGATCACCATGAGTTAGAGATCAGCCTCAGGTACATATTACATAAGAACCTGCACCATAAAAGAAAATTAAAAACACTGCTTGCATTCCTTAAAAATTATTTACAGAACCTCAATGTGTATGTATAATTTATACTACTGGCTAAACAGTCCTAATCTTTCAAATCTGTCTGCTACACATCAACCCATTTATTGTTGAGAGGGCCCTTCCTGGGACCTTTTTCAGCTCCACTCATCTTCCGGGCACATCAGCCAGAGCCCTCCATCTGCAGCCACATCTACAAGTCACAGAAACATCCATTTCCTAACCTGGGAATATAACATTCACTATCAGTACTTTCTGTCATGAGACAGACCAAGAACTGTGTTTAGGAACTGTCTACAAGGTCCTTTACCTGACAGATATGGCCTTTTACCTGATTCATAACTGTTTACTTAACAAGTGCCTAAGATCTTTCTTCCCTAGTTTATAAACTCTACTGAAGCTGGTTATTTTCATACTTGAAGACATTAAATATTTCAGAAAATAAAAGCTCCTATTAAGAGGATTTCACTGCTGTATCCAACCAGCACCTAGCATGGTGTCCGGCACATAGCAGATGCTCAACAAATGGTGTTAAATGAGCAAGTGGTGAACTAAGTATGCTATGTCTTTTGGGTCAAAAGAGAAAAAAGCAATTTAAAAAATTTCTTGGAGGACATCACAGAAAAAGATTTCACCCACTGGAAAAGTTTAAACACACATTTGTTAGGAGTAAAGTAAGAAATACTGCACTGGAGAGGAAAATGAACCAAATGACCTCTGAAGTTCTTTCAACTTCTGGAATCTAAAACCTGATAAATAGCAGCCCACCTTAAGAGGAAGAACAGCTACATAAAGCCTCATTCCCTGGTAGAGTAATTACCACACGCTGTCTACAGTAAAGTAGCTGCTCTGGGATCCAGATGCAAAAATACTAATTCATCCAAAATGTGGGCAAATCCCTAGAGGACAATGCCCCCAGCTAATCATCAGTCATTCTGGAAAGAGCACACATGCTCCACGGTCTTCTCAGGGCCAGGCCCTTGCCGGTACCATCAGGGAAACTGACAGCAAGGGATGAAAATTGCAAATGGAATGAAGAGTGTCATATTAAAATGAAGTTTTCGCCCTGCAATCAGTAACAGTCACTTAAGAAACACATATGAATTTAGCCTTGGGGTTTATATGGTTCTAACCAAAGATAATCACAAGACAGAAAATACCACATCTGACATACAAGCACATTTATGCCCTCAAATTGTTATATTTACCTTGAATATCACACTAAGGCTTCTAAAATTGAGGGCAAGTCGTTCAGATTTAATTTTTCTTCAATCTGCATGAGAGAGGTAATTTATAAGGCAAGGAGCTATGTTTATTTTCCTAAACTTTCTAAAAAAATTTAGCTAATTCCAAAGGAGTAAGTAGGGCAACTCTATTCATATATAAATCAACTTTGGAGGATGTCTCTCAAAGACACCTCTCCTGGGGCCTGGGGATTTAGCTCAGCAGCATAAGCGCCTGCCTTGCAAGCGCGCAGTCATGAGTTCGATCCCTAGTACCGATAAAAAAATTTTTTAAAAAAAGACACCTTTCCTTTCTTTAATTCAAATCATAAAAAAGGGAACTGGAGAGACAGAGAATTCTAACATCACTGTGGGCCAGGTTTAGAGACTCTTACGTTCTCTAAGAGTTGTTTTGAAGATGCAACTGCAGAGACACACTTTAAGAGAGAAGCCTGGTGAACAAAGTGAAACAGTTCAACAATTCCTTGCAAACGTGATCACACTTTTTTTTCTGCAGCGTATTAAAAGATTTTTTTTCCTCTGTTGTAGATTCTCTGATCACTCATACAACTCAGAACAAAAAAAAAATCTCGTTTTCACATTTTAAGTAATCTGATCCTAATTCTGGCAACAGGAATGTGCAGAAAGCAGTACCCTCCTTCAGATATATACACTTCTTACAAAATCTCTATTACCTAAATGAGAAAGATTTTACACAAGACTTCTTTGACAGCCAGGTGTGGTGGCATACACCTGTAATCCCAGTACTCTGGAAGCTGAGGCAGGATTGTAGAGAGTTTGAGATCAGCCTGCACAACATATTGAGCATAAGACCAGCCCAAACTACATAACAAGACTCTGTCTGAAAAAAAAACAAAGAAACAAAAAAATTCCTTGCGATTAAAACATCTGGCTGGCAGACCTAGTGTTAAATATGACTACAGCCACATAACTAACTTTTAAATCCACATATTGTTCCTATTTAACTGACATATATGAACTAATATACAGAAAATGTGCAGCAAATCATTTCTTCCGCCTCCGCCAGTCCTCAAGAATACATCTGCAATAAGTACTGCTAAAAGCGACACCCCTACCAGAATATGTGTGTTCCCAGGCGCTTGCCAGTGAATCTACGGCGGATATTGTTATTTTGGTTGTCTGGATCTGCGTAATGATAATAAGTGGAGTTGGTAGGAGTAATAATTTGGCCAGATAAACTTCACCTCTATGAATCTGTTTCCTCACCAGAAAAATTTGACCACAGACCATGCAAACAAAGTGACAAGCTCTGACCCCAAGTGACAACAAGCTATGACCACTAAATTGTAATGACACGATTTGTATATAAGTGGAAACCAGAATTTTTAAGTGGCTGCGTGTAAAAGGCCTAGAAGACCCACAGTTACACCCTGATGAGACCGTTACTTTCTGATGGTGGAAAAAGTCTTTGAAAAAACACTCAGATGGCAGAATTACCAAACTCAGGTACAAGTCTTCGAAGAGGGGACTTCTCAAACTTCTCAAACCCCTGGGCCAGGCTGAGGGGTACAAAAGGCGAGAGTGAGTCTGGGGAGCACAGCGAAGGGCAAGGAGATGGAGAGCTCAGACAGCTCTGCCGACCTGGGGATGCAAGCGCTTCCAGCATCTCTGCGAGAGACTTCGGTCTGCGCCGGTGGCGTCTCTCAAGCCACCCCTATGCGAAGGGGAAGAAGGGACAGGGAGAGGCAGCTGCAGAGGGAAGGATCCAGCCCGAGGCGTCCGCAAAGCCGAAGACGTAAAAGTGGACTCTGAACATCGACAAAGAAAGAGAAAGGAGGACTCCCCTTCCCCGCGGCCTGGCTCCTTTCAATGGGAGGGAGGCCGCCCCGCCCCACCCCGCGGCCTCTCCCCGGAAGGCGAGCAGCCCCAGGGCCCTGTCCTCGCCCCCCCAACCCATGCCGGCCGGACCCCACGAGCTCGGGGCAGAGCACCCCTCGCCTCTCGGCCGGCGCGAGCCGCCTCACTCCCCCACGCTCCCGCCTGGCTCCCACCCACCGCTACAAGGGAGCCTTTAGAAACTTTTGTGTGGGGTGTGTGTGTGTGTGCGCGCGCGCGCGTGTCTGGGGCTTTGTCCCCATCCTGGGCAGGGCCGGGAAGCCCGGGCGGGTGCCTCTGAGTGTCCGGGATCTCACAAAGCACCACGGAAACCACCACGGAAACCCCACCCTTAGACCCGCGCCTCCAGCCCTAGGCCCCGGAGCCCTGGTTAGCAATTCCCACGCCCTGATGGCCCTGGGCGCCGGCCTCGCCTGTCACGCGGGAAACGGCGCGCGCGGGAACACGGAGGCGGCTGGCGATCACCCTGGCTCCAAGGATCCTTTTCCAGGGAACACACGGAGCGTCCCTTTGGCCATCGTCCTCAGAAGAGGAGTGCGGGGCGGCCACACCGCTGCACTCGGCCGGAGCGGAGCCTCGAGCTGCTCATCCAGAGCTGCAGACGCGCGCCCCGAGCCGCGCTCACGCCCCTGCACGCACGAGGAGCCCACCCGCACTCACCGACGGCCTTCCCACAGCCACGGCCATCGCGGCGCCCGGGCGCTCCCCGCCGGTACCCACAGGACTCTCACGCGCCTCCGTCACGGCTGCGCTACGCTCACACTCAGGTTTCGCGCGCGGCCCGCCGCATCTGCTCGGCTCGCCGCCGCCCTCCCAATTTATGGGCGCAACATGGCCTCCCGCCTGGGCGAAACCAAGTGTCTCCGCGGGGGGAAGATAGACTCACTCCCGATCCGACCGAGGATAACTGACGTGGTTCCGAAGAGGTCTGCAGGCCTTCCCGGAGGGCTCGCATTCCCCGAACTCTGTCGCTCACCGACTGGTGACCCTCTCCTGCGCCACCAAGATACCCCTGACCTGAGCGCAGGCCACTACCCCCACTCCGCTGCATGGTAGAGTCTGCATAAAAGCCGGTCCCGGGCCCGGCCCCGGTTCCTAGCAAGCGGTGCGTAGCGGGCGGTCCGGCTGCCGGCGGGCTGGAGGCGCGAGGCCCGGGAGGGCCGGGCGCGGGCACCGCGTGCAGGGAGATTGCCCTGCGGCCGCACGCCCCTCCCGGAAGGCCAGGCGGCCGGATTAGGGGCGACACGGGAGTGCCGGGCGGCCTCCGGGAAGAGCTGTTTGGTCCGCGAGTCCTCCCGCCGGCCGGGTGGCAGAGCAGACGCGATCCAGCTGCTGCCTGCGGAGGACCGCGGAGGAAAACGCCCCCGCTGGGAGATACGGCCGAGACGCGACTGCCTTCGGGCGTGGCCGGAGAGGTCGCGCGTGGGCTCCGCGGTCTGCTGGGTGCGGGAGACCGACTCGAGGGCCCGGAGGGCTGGGGCGCAGTGGGGCAGCTCAGACCTGCCTCGGGCCAGCACTGACGGGGCTGCGAGGTGGCCCCAGTGCTGCGGGTCCCCGCCGCCCTCGCGGGCAGCAGAGGAAACCCACGCCGGGAACCCACGAAGGCCAGAGCCTTGGGGACCTCTGTTTGATTGGGGGCGGGACCCCGTTGGTTTGAAGCTCTCTCGGGAGAGGGCGCTGAGGCTGCGATCGGCCCACGGATTACCCCCGGGGAAAGCCAGCCTGCTGAGTTGGGGCGCCTCCGAGTCTGACTTGAGACTTCAAACGCCGGTTCTTGGAGACCTCGAGTTTGCCCCTCCTGTTCGTGCTGGGCTAGAGCGCGCCCCACTGCCTCCGGTGGGTGGATCGAGGGCTTCATCCTCCCCTACAAAACAAGGGAGGCCCAGCCAGGGAGGGCACCTCGAGGAGAAAAAGATGAGGGGCGCCGACTTTCTGTCCCACAGACTTTCAATCTTTTGAGAATAGGGACCACCATTTTATGCAGTAGGTGCTCAGTAAGCGTCAGAGACTACATGTGGACCGGTGCTATGCAAAGGGAGAGAGGACAGACATACAGTACTCCCATCTGTCACTGTAATATGTGGACGTTAATGCTTTTCTTTCATAGACCAGACTGGGCACTGCCCTGGGATAAGCGGGCTCCCCACACCTCCAGCAGAGTGTATGAGCAGTTACAAAGTATCTTAGTCCCTTTCCTCTCACTGGGACAAGTATGCTACACCTACAACTTAAATAAGGACAGGTTTATTTGATTTGTGTTTTTAGTTCATGGTGGGCTGCCTCCAGGGCCAAAGGGCCTGCCAGGCACAGGGTCCAGGAGATGGGCCCCCCAGGACTAGCCTTTTCCCCTCAAACGCCTGTCTCCTAACATGGAGTCAACCGCAGCACCCCATGTGCACCTTCCACAAGCCTGCCAGATAAGTGTCTGAGCCCTTTGGGAACATCTTTCATCTAACCCATAGATGTTAGTTAACAAGACTAGCCTGGCTGATTTTATGTATGTACTTATTTTTAATTTTAAAAATACTTATGTTGTAAACTCAGGTTATTAAATTATTATAACCTGGTGGATAGATGTGTTCATTCTGATAACAAAAGTGTAAACCCATACAGTGCAACAGATTTAAGAAAATCCCTTTGGGACAAAAATCACTGATTATTCGCCCATCCTTGAACCCAGGCGCGCGCTCGCGCGCGCACACACACACACACACACACACTAGGGATTGAACCCAGAAGCTCTATGACTAAATTACATCCCAGCCGTTTGTATTTTTTGAGACAGAGACTAAGTTACCCAGGCTAGGTTCAAACTTTAGAACCTCCAGTTTCAGCTTCCCAGAGTTCTAGAATTCAGGTGTGCACCATCATACAAAGTCTGACATTAGCACCCCCACCTCTTTTTAAAGAGGAAACAGGTAAGTATATATATGATAATAATAATAATACATAATTATTTTCAGCCAAAGGAGACTATTTCAATGTGTCAGTAATATATGACCTTCAGCAAGTTACTTAACCTTTCAGTGCTTCAACCTGTCTCCCCTTCCTCCCCTCTCCTCCTCCTTCCCCTCCCCTCTCTCCTCTCTTCTCCTTTTCCTTCCCCTCCTCTTCCTCTCACTGGCTTTTTGAGACAGGGTCTCACTTTGTAGTTTGGCTGGCCTTGAACTCACAGCAAATCCCCTGCTTCAGTGCCCCCTGAGTGTTGGGGTTCTAGACATACAATACCATGCCTGGCTTGTTTTAATCTTTTAGAATTTGTTTGAAAAGAGTTCCTCCCTAATAAAGTTGCTGAGACATTAGATTACTTTTTTTAAACTAAATTCCCAGCACTATACTAGGAAAAATCAGTATGCACTAGTTCTGTGGAAGGCAGGGGTGGGAAGACAAAGTTGAACCCAGGCCTTTTTTAATTTTTCATTTTGAGACAGGGTCTTCCTAAATTGTCCAGGCTGGACTTGAACTTGTGATCCTCCTGCCCTTGTCTCCCAGAATGCAGGGATGACAGGTGTGCATCATCATGCCCCATATGCCTTTAACAGCCAGTTTATAAACTGCTGGGAGACAGACCTTTACAATTCTGATTAATATGCCAAATGCTAAGAAAAGAGACATATGACTAATGGAATTTTAGTAGGAAATATTTAACCATGGAGGTAAAACAGAGGAAACAGCAAAGAAGAAATTCTAGGTACGGGAACAATGAGCAAAGACTCCGACCAAGGATAAGGATGCTATGGGAAGAGTCCATATCACAGTAAAATGGCAAGAATGTGGCACTTAAATGGCACATTAGCATTTATTAGTTTTGTGACATCAATCCATTTGGTCTTCTTTCATCCTCATTTTTTGCCCATTGTAAAATAAGGTAGCAATAGTCTTTACAAAAGCCATCATCTTCTAATAGTATCTACTTTCCTGTTTAGTGGAGAGATTTTCCAATGAATGCTCCACCGTGGGAGGAAAGAACACTGTAAATGCCTGTTACAGAAGAAGGTCCTCAAGATTATTTCCATCAAGCCCTGGCTCTCAATCTGAGTGTGATCAAGGAAACATAGTCAAACTGTAAAATGACAGGAAGACTACAAATTGTTAGTTTGTGCATTCCGTAATTTACTTTTTATTTTTAGGCTTATGTTACCTAGAGGTTGTTGTTTTGGCTTACAATTAAAAAACAAAGCTTGGCTACAGTAAAGATAATGAATTGGAAAGGGATATAGTAGGAAATGGAGAGTAAATTAGAAACTACTGACACTTCTGGTTTGATTCTGAATCCCTTCTGCAATACTGTGTAAACATGTTCAACAAAATAATTTTTGTTGATTTCATACAGTTTTGAAGTCCTGTATCACTTATATAGGTTTGTTTTGATTGGTTTTATTCTGTTTTATTTTCCTTGGTTTTATCCTGTTTAAGATAAAATTAAATATAGATACAGATATATACAAATTTTTTTTGGCAGTACAGGGAATGGAACCCAGGGTGCTCTACCACTGAGCTACATCCCCAGCCCTCTTTATTATTTAAGGTTTTTTTTTTTTTTTGTCTTTTTCCTTTTTATTGGTACTGGGGATCGAACTCACAACTGCCTGCTTGCAAGGCAGGTGCTTATGCCGCTGAGCTAAATCCCCAGCACCCTATGTAAGTTTTTGAAACAAAGCCTTGCTGGTTTGCCCAAGCTGAGCTTGGACTCTTGTGATTGTCTTGCCTCAGCCTCTTTAATGCCTAGATTACAATGGTGATCCCAGCACCTCATCCCCACCCAACCACCCACTGTGGTAGGTCTCACTGTGTAATGACTGGCCTATAACCAACTCACTGTGGCTCAGCTGGTCTTGAGCTTGCCACTCTCCTACCTCAGTCTCCTCAGTGCTGTGGTGATCTAACTAATAGTTGTCACACAGCTGAACTGAATCAGTGTGGTGCTGCATGTGGAAGGCCCAGTCCTGTTAACAGCATAAAAGGAGAAGTGGAGAAGAAGATGTTGTGCTGTTGATTCTCTTGGAGAGGCTTGGCATGCTGGCTTTCTGCTATGAAATCAGCTGTTCTCCTCATCTTTGGAGGAGCCAGGACCTCGCTGTCACTGAGAATGGCTGCTGCTCTTTTTGGAGGAGCCCTGGCCCTTACTTTGAGTATTGCTTTCAGCTTTCAATACAGATCCCTCAGGCTGCTGGCACAGATCCTTCTGGTTTCCACTGCTGACCTTTGGACCTTCCCAGTGTAGAGTCATAAAACGGACTTGCATGAGTCATTGTCATGGGCCCTAGGCCTCCAGCTGGACTCGTGGAGGACATTACATGGGCTCTAGGTCTTTAGCTGGACTCATGCAAGACACTGTCATGTCATCCTTAGCTGAATTCTTTGAGTCTCTAGCATGAGGACAGATCTCCTACACTCTTTTGCATTTGACTCTTTGGGTGAATATTATAAAATAATCCCAAATCACGTGTTCTATATTAAATTGTTTGCCTTGTAAACCCTGACTACAACACTCATGCCAGCTTAATAAAGCATTTAAGCAAATAAGAAAAAATAAAAATAAATCACTTAAGAACATCCAAATGGGAGATGAAAAACTCTCTCTGAGGATGACAAATTTACATGTAAAAACTCCTAAGGACTCCACTGGAACATTAATAAATGAGCTCAGCAAGATTACATGATACAAAATCAATAAACAAATATCACTTCTATTTCTGGACACTTGCAGTGTACTATAAAAAAAGGAATTAAGTCCCTTTACAATACCACCAAAAAGAATAAATACTTAGAAATAATTTTTTCAAAAAATGCATAGTACTCTTTAAAAACATTTATGAAGGAATTTTTTTAATGTGCTGTGAAAGCACCCAGAGCCTCCTCACACATACTAAGTGGCTTACCACTGACAAACATTTCCAGCCCAGAAAAATCTTTAAAAACCCAATTAAATAGAAATATATCTTGTGCTCATGAATTGGAATACTTAACATTGCTAATGTGGCAATATTCTCCAAAACAATCTACAAACTAACAGCCTTTATTAGAATCTCAACTAACTTCTTTATAGAAACTGACAATCTGATTTCAAAATTCATATGGCAATTGAAGGCCCCAAATACCAAAATTTAGAAAATGTGCACCCCATCCCCATATTTCACATTTCACTGTAAAGCAACAATGAAGAAAAATGGACAGACTTGAAGATAATGGACTAGAATTAAAATTCCTAAAATAAAGCCAAGTCAACTGATTTTTCAACAGCGATGTTAAGATCATTTCTTCTTGACAAGTGGTCCTGTGTGATCACAGGCAAAATATCCATGGTTAAAGCCAGAGTCTTTCTACCCAGCTGGTTTTTACCTTATGTGCAGAAATTAACAATGGATCAAAGATAAGAGCAAAAACTATAAAACTCTTAAAACAAAAGTAAATCTTCGTGATTTACTTTTTGTGATTTACTGGGGTTTGGAAGTGGCTGTGACACCAAAAGCACAAGAATAGGACAAATTGATAGATTGTATCAAAATGTAAAACTTTATGTTTCAAAGTACACTTATCAAGAAAGTGAGGCAAAAATTTATACAATAGGAGAAAATATTTGTAAATCATACATATGGGAGGGACTTGTACCTAAGATATATGAAAAATTCTAAAAAATTCAATAATGAAAAAATGACCCAACTAAACAATCAATCAAAAGATTTGAAAAAACATTTTTTCAAAGAAGTTACACAAATGGCCAAGAAACATGAAAAAAATTATTGACAATATTAGAAGGAAATGGAAATCAAAACCATAACGAGATACCATATCTATTACAATGGCTACAATTTTAAAAATCAGGATAATAACAAGGGTTATTGAGGAGACAGAGAAATCAGAGCCTTCATC